TTTTTTTTTTTTTTTCTGGTAGACTCTTCCCATCGACGAATTATTTTGCAAATAATTATTTTCTTATTATGTGATAGTATCATAGTAGTTTTATAGTTTATTGTTTGTCTACCTTGATATTTATCTCTTTGCCATTAGCCTAAGACTCTGATTGCGTATAAGCTATTTAAAGGAAACAAAGTGATTACACACAAGTTCACATGTAGATCAAATATATTTACATCGTTGAAGCATCTTACAAAATATATGTGAAGTACGCTCTCATCTTATCAGCTTAGGACTTGTTTGAAGGTCGTTTTGTTCCTTATCTAATAAAATGCCCATGATACAATTTTTTTCTCATACTTGAATGAATAAATTATTTGTGCGATTTTTGCGCATATATGTATGTGGAAGTATGTTGCCAAAAGCATCAGTTTTTCCATAGTAGCAATGATTATAAATCCTTTCTTATACTTGAATTAATCAGAGACTACTTAACCACACTTTATTTTAAAAAAAAAAATAATAAAAATGATGTAAATGGAATTAAGTTACCAAAGCATCATACTTTTTGAGGTAGAAACAATTATAAATTGCAAGCACTCCCTTAAGGAAAAATGTTTCTTGGCTTTTTTGCACCTTTACTTGATTGCTTGTAGACTTCTGCTAATATATCCTTAATTAGTTTCACTTGAACAATTTATTGGTTTTGTGATTTTGGTAAACTAATATATAACCTTACGTTTTTCGGATTTAGAGTTTGACGATGATCAAGGATGTACCGATTCCTCCAATGAGCCTTATTCAGAGTCTGAAGGTTGTGACGCATACTGGTGTAATGGGTCTTCAAGATCTTTTATCTTGTTCACTCGGCATCTCCATCTACTGCAATACTATATCAATCAATGTGTCTCGGTTCATGTGTACCTTGGAGGTATTAGTTTCTTGCTAATAATTCATCTTTATCATTTGAAAATGATGAACTTTATTTTATCATGGTAATTTTCCGTATCATTATTGGTCGTTTGGTTCTTAAATATCATTAGGTGAATTATTGATAGTTACATTAATAAAATGTTCAAAAGTAAAAAGAATGTGATTATTGATGCTCGAATTTGTATGCCAACATAATTTGACACATTGTGTAGTTTGACACGTCTTTGCTAATCGAGTCGCAAATTTTTCTTACTTTTAAATGATGAACCAACATTATTGCTCAAACATCAATTCTACAAGCCCATAACTACAATGCACTCATATAGTAATTTTTTTACTTTCATTCATTGAATTTATGTTTGCTTGGATTTTTTTAGGCGTTTTTATTCATTTGAACTTCGGTTTTCTTGGATTTATTCATGGAACATGGGAAGGCATACACAATTGATGTCTTAATAAATTATTTGTGCCACTTTTGCGCATTTTTGCAACCTTTAGTTTCAGGAAATAAAAAAGAGCTCATTAGTTCACAAGAGTAATCTCACTCGTGTGGAGGATCACTTGGTACGAGTCGAGATGAAAGGCTTCACCGGTGATGACGAGCAAGTGGATTTAGTAAAATATTTTGTGGTAAATGCTCCCCACATGCGGCACTTGGTGATATGGATGAAAAGGCAAGAGACGAGAGAATTGTGCAACGAATTGTGCCGCCAGCTGCTTCACATCTCCGGGAGTTGTGACATCGCTACGCATGGAAATTACGTTGTGTTCTCGAGGAATGAAATTTAAACTTCTCATCTGTATGCTGGTTTTTGGAACTGTTTTTGCTGTGTGAGACCTTTTAGTGTTTTTAGTTAATTAAATTGAAATTTTTCTTTGAGAAAATCTCTCATTCTGAGAATCACATAGTTTGCGAGATTATCTGATTTCGGATTTTTATTGCTGTGTTGCAGAGGGTCACGTGATTGAAAGATTGGCCTTTAATGTTCTGTACTTTTGGTTTGGAGTTAATAATTGTGTTCGGCCATATACTTCTAATCTATATTATTAGCGCATGTGAAATAATATTATTTAATATATATATTTTTTTGAAACGATAGAGATAGTATATAACAAAATGGCACAACGTGCGAAAAGAGAGCAGCCAATAGTTGAATGTACAACCAAGGCCCAAAAAATTGGGAGGACGGATGCGAAAATCGCCTGAACCTGCTAGCAACGCTAGAATAACAAACTTACAACTGCATTAAAAAAACACCACTAAACACAACAACTAAAAAAACAAAGAAAAACGATTACAAAGGGATAACGCCTGAATGTACGATCTCAACATGATGATAAGGTTACATTCGGGCAAATCGGGGCCAACGACCCAAACCTAAAACACAAACACAACAAAGACAAACACCAACAAGAACAACATACAAACAGAGCTCTTCCCCAGCGAACAGACTAGCCCAACCAGTAGTGAACGATCGACACAAGAAAGATTACAGGCCAAGAAACTGCTACTGAAACTGTAAGCCGCCTATACAATAGAAGAAACCGAACCCCGAACCAATCTTCGGAGTCGACCCGTTTTTAACCGAGAGAGCTACCATCAACCCCCACACCGGCCTCACCCGAACTCATCCAACACCACAAGACGAGTCCGATAGAACATGGTTCCCGCCGCCTAAAACCACTAGCCGAACAGGGGAGGTTGAGAGAGAATCGGACCCTCAACCCCGACAACCACAACGGGTGTGCCGCAGCCACCGGAGTCCCGCCCCATCCATAGACGCGCGCTCCGCCCGACACCTCCACAGACATCCGACGACCAGAGGTCCAATCCCTACCTGAAAGCCGGATCCCCGTTGGAAAAGCAGGTCCCAACAATCGCAGACAAGGGGGAAAATTGAGGATCTTAGCTGGATTTTTTAAATAATAAAATGAACTAAGGCCCAAAATTTAAGGTAGCGTTTAATGTCGTATGGTTTTTAAAGAAAAAATAAGGAAAATAATAAAACTTACTATTTATGGACTGCATTAAATTCTGGCCTATTTTTTTACTACTATTTTTGGTAAATAGGTTGTCTCTTTATATATAATAATAATAATAATAATAATAATAATAATAATAATAATAATAATAATAATAATAATAAGTATGAATCCCGTGCGATGCATGGGTAAGCAATATTCATTAATATTTATAAATAAAAATTGCTCATTAAATAATATTTATAAATTAAAAATATGAAATTAATATGTATACAATTTACCTATATTAATTTATTGAAAATGCTATATGTAATTTACATTGTGCAAATTACATGAATCATATCTATTTAAAATTAATATACTCCGTACGGTGCACGTAACTGATAATAAATTACAGTATATTCATTTAAAAATAAGTGTCATTTTAAAATTTTTATTCAGAAAATCAATTTCACTACAATGTGAGTCCATACAAAAAAATAATAATAAAAAAAAAAATAAAAAAAATGTTTTGGTAAAATTTTATCATATATTTAAGAATCTATGTGAATGTTAGGTATAATTATAAAATCTATATTGTTTCATTAATAAAAATGAATTTTATTTTTGTATAAACAATCCAACTCAAAAAAATTTAAATAGTTAAGTAATTTATTAAAAATAATTGACTACTCCATTACATCCAAGTCAATATTGACCCGTAAGTTATGAATAATTACTTCTTTGACTTATAAATTTGGAACTCATATTTGGAATTCAGAATAAATTCTCTTATATATTTTATAGATTTGTTTTCTTTACCATATTTTTCAAATTTATCAACTCATTATCTAGAATTAAATTACACATCTTAAATTTTATGAACCAATATATTTTTCTTCTGGAATGATAGAATATTGGTTCAAAGATCTTTATAATTTTCAATAGAAATATCAATTTGTCGAATTATCATCAATATTTATGGCAAGTTATTATATAAGTATAATAAAATTTGAGAATCATATCACCTTGATTTTATAACAAAACAACTTAAAATTCGATTTTCATACTCATACAAATAAAATTTATCCACTTATGTTGTTTTCAACATTTTCAAATACAATTCTATTCGTACCAAATAAAATTCATACCATTTAAATTCAGATATTTCGTACCAAAATACAATCGCCCACTTTATACCATATAAATCGGACATCCCCCCTATATATTAATCCAGAACACGCTGAGCCTACGTGGCTGCTTCTGGTGCTTCGAAATCTTATGTGGCAAAATTACATGTTTCGTTATTAGGCTTGGATAAATTTTAATTTAATTCCAAACCAAAAATAATTAGGTGTTGATTATTTATGGTCATGTTACATGTATTAATTGCATTTAATATCATTCCTTATTATAACTATTGAATTGTATATATATTTTAAAAGTTAATAACTTTTGTATTTTTTTATCAATTTTACATATGTAATATATCACATTAACCTTCTTTTGATGAGTTTCGATTTAACATCCATATTGTATGTATAAAAAAATAATTTATATTTATCTTTATAACAATAATAAAATTATTTTTAATATTAATTAAAAAAATAAAATTATTTATCAACTAATCCCCCTATCCTCCTATATATTAATCCAGAACGCCCTGAGCCTACGTGGCTGCTTCTGGTGCTTCGGAATCCTATGTGGCAAAATTACATGCTTCGTTATTAGGCTTGGATAAATTTTAATTTAATTTCAAACCAAAAATAATTAGGTTTGGATTACCATAAATATGTTGATTATTTATGGTCATGTTACATGTGTTAATTGCATTTTAATATCATTCCTTATTATAACTATTGAATTATATATATATATATATTTTAAAAGTTAATAACTTTTGTATTCTTATCAGTTTTACATATGTAATATATCAAATTAATCTTTTTTTGATGAGCTTCGGTTTAACATCCATATTGTATGTATAAAAAAAATAATTTATATTTATCTTTATAACAATAATAAAATTATTTTTAATATTAATTAAAAATAAAATTATTTATCAACTAATATATTTATATTTCAAGTAGTTATATGATATAAGTTATAAAAACTAATATAATATAACACATGTAAGTCATAAGTAACACATATCATTCTAAAATATATAGTAATATATATTTTTTTTTTGTAAAAAAGTAAACTAAATTTAATATAGTTTCTCATTAATTTTAAATTTAAGAATAATTTTTTAACAAACACCCGTGTAATACACGGTTGTTGTACTAGTTTATTAATAACAACACATTTCCTACCAAAAATAAAAATTACCATCATATATCTAAAATAAACCGCCCACTTATACCAAAACCGGATTTTTAATTTTTCCAACCTTATACCATTAATTGATTAATTAATCTCTAGAGGCAGAATTTTAGTTTAGATTTCAAGTAAATACATACCTTTATATATATCTATATATTTGTATCTATGTATAATATCTTCAAAGAAATACAAACCCTTTTAATGATAAACCACATTCATTAGATCGTGAACGAATATTGAATACTATAGAAGTATTATCAAATTTTTTTTCATCCTATTTTTTATATAATTTTTAAATTCCAATAATACTTGATGTATATTTATGCTCCACCATTTTCAAAATAAATAATATGTTAGAATTAAGATGGCTAGAGAAAATATATATATGCACATGTAATTATTTTTTCTTCTCTCTACTTTATTAATATCCTATAAAATAAATTTATTTTTTTATTCTTAAATAAAAAAGTGTTAAATTTTTAAAATTGTCATAGGTATTCTAATAATAAATCAAATTGTAAATAAAATTATATTTATAAAATTAAATTTAATTTAAAATAGAAGTATATTATTTAAAAGTTGCAAAGTTTAACCTTTATGGGTAATTGATAAGTTATTAATTATCACAATATACTCATTATTTATTTTTTTCTTAAGACAATAATTTATACGGTGTTCGACAAACAACTCGTTAATTTATCCTATGTATATTTGTTAGTCGATATTTCTTTATACTATTTTGTATGTTATGAATATTATGTAGTAGACATTTATATTTCATTTTATGAGATAACTTTATGCACTTAAAAATTTTCTATATTCCAACGAAAAATTCAATGGTAATATATTTCAATAGAAATGTCAACTGATATTTCAATGTTACATTGAAATGATAACAACGATGATTCGAATGAAAATATTCCATTAGGATTTTAGGAGGAATTTGCTGTTCCAACAGCTATTTTTCTAGAGATTATTACGGTATGAATTCTATTTGAATAATATGCAATTTTTCGTTGAAATTTGTATTTTTTCACCCATGTTTCAGTTGTTGAAATTGTCAAAATCTAATAGAATACTCATTCCAACGGAATATTTTACTAGAATTTCTATTATAATCTATTGAAAAATTTTACATCAATAATAGTATTATCAATTGAAATTGTTATTAGAATTCTATAGGAATATTATTTCGCTGAAATTTCATCATTTCATGTACTGTTAGTCTCATTTGTTATTTTTAAATCTATATTGATTGTTATAACTTATAAGCTTAAGTTTTATTATAGAATTATAATAATTATATATTATTTTATATGTACAATATGGATATCATATATTAAATATTAAAAAAATATCAATACAATACTTTGTATGTAAACAACAAAGAAAAAATAAACTATTAAGGTTTATATAAAAAAAAAGGATATTGATATTTAATAAGATGTCAAAACTAAAAAAAGAAGAAAAATAGATTACCATAAATATGTTGATTATTTATG